CAGGTATTTTTTTTTTTTGAAGGTAGGATTTATTGAGAGGACAGAAAATCTTCCACAGTGGGAGGGCACCCAAAGGGGGTTGCCTTTGAAGGCATTTTTTACTGTCTCCTAGCTCCCAATGTTAATGAGTTGGTAAGTCTAATGCTGTTCTGATTTTTTATCCTAATGCGGTTCTAATTTTTTATCTGTGCATGCTACTTGTTCTTTCTTTCTGGAAGCTTTTAGAATTGTTTCTCTGTGTCCAGTGTTCTGAGATTCTATAGCAATGTGGCTAGGTGTGGGTTTGATTTGTTGTACTGGATACTTTATGTGCCCGTTCAGTTTGGAGATTCAGTTCAGGGTTGTATTTTTAAATAATTTATTTGATGATCTTTTTTCCTTTCTAATTTTCTATTCTCTTTTGGAACTTTTTTCCTCCTCTACTGACTGCTCAGCAGAATCTTTCTGGAACTCTTATTTAGATGTTTAATCTTCTGAACTGATCCTTTAATTTGTATCCATTTTCTCCTAAAGTAGAACCAATTTGATTTCCTTCAACATTATCCTCCAGTCTCTATATAGAATTTTTATTTCTGCTATCATGGTTTTGATTTCCAAGAGCTCTTTTTGCTTATCTGAATAGTAGTTACTATTAATTAAGTTCTTGGGGGTTTTTTTTTTAATGGGGGCACTATATCTCACTGAGAAGACAGATGATGGATCTAAAAAACATTTTGTTTTAGTTGTTTTTTCTCTTTTGTGGTTTCTGTTTTCTCTCATTTGTTTTTCTCTTCTTGTATTTTTTTTTTCCTGTATCTTAAAGACTTTCCTTAAATATCTAATGATCCTTGGCTGCCTGCTTATTTTTAAGAGCAAGGACATTAAAAAGCTGACTAGAACGTGGGCGTGAGGGCTGGGGCATGCAGACCAAAGCCTTCATTCTAATAGTCTACTTCATTAAGACAACCCTAATGAGAGTTCTTTGGGGTTTTTCTTTGAGTTTGGTGGGATTCCCTAGAGAAGATTTTTCCAAAAGTATAATCACGCTCTTTACTTTTGTTTTGGAATCAGTTTTCTCAGGCTTGCTAAAACAGTTACCATTCTTCCGTTTGTTTTCCAGCTTCCCAAATGTTGCCGTCGCTGTCTCCTTCCCCTTTCGCCCGCCAGTCACCCTCCGCCCCACTTACCTGAAGCCTTTTTATTTCTTTAGTAGAGACGCGGTCCCGCTATGTTCCCCAGGAATCCTGAATTCCTGGGCTCAAGGGATCCTCCTGCCTTAGCTTTCGAAGTAGTTGAGACTACAGGTGCGCACCACCTAGTCTGGCAATCCCCATGATTTCTTTAGGATAATTTTATCGGAGGACAACTCCGCTATGTCATATGAAAAGGTTTTGACACATATTACCTGATGGCCCTACAGTACTATGTGCATATGGAAAGAGATAGGCTTCTGTATATAACTGTCATGCAACAAATATTAAGTAACTTCCAGGGGTACCGCATCCACCCACCAATCTGCCCTAATACTCTATCCCGCGCCGGGCGAGAGACAACACAGGTCTGAAAAAGTAACGAAATGCGCATGACAGCTGAGCGAAGACGGAGGAAAAACTTCTGGGAAGGGCGGGGTGCGCATAGACCACGCCTGTCTGGAATAGGGGAGGGGGAAGGGAGGGGGGGTCCTATCTCGTCGATGATTGGTTGGTCTTTCTGGCCAATCATGTGCAGGGACTGATTTTGCTGCTCGTCGGGATCCACCTCCCCGAGGGCCTTGGAGCCACGTTTACAAATGGGAATAGAGTACGTGAGAAGGACAGAATGCATAGCCAATGAAATCGTGCGACGCTAATGGGCGGGGAGAGGCCGCTGCCCGGTTCAGGGCGGAAGAAGCGTCCCTGGATAAGGAGGGGAACAAAAGATGGCGGCGGAAACGCTGCTGTCCAGTCTCTTGGGGCTGCTGCTTCTGGGGCTCCTGTTGCCCGCGAGTCTGACCGGCAGTGTCGGGAGCCTGAACCTGGAGGAGCTGAGCGAGATGCGTTATGGGATCGAGATCCTGCCGTTGCCTGTCATGGGAGGGCAGGTGAGGAGGCGGATGAGGGACGAGGGTCCCGGTCAGAAGAGGAAAGGGGGAAAAGAGGTAGAGGAAGAAGGGCAGCTGCGGAGTCTGGGGCGGGAGCCTACGGGAAATACGGGAAGAGCAGGCAGGGCTTTTAAGATGAGGATCGCGGACTGAGAGAAGCCTTCCCTGGGATTGGTAGAGGGTGGGGCTTCCCGCTGTCAATATCCAGGTCCCAGTTCACGATCGAAACACTCAGACTCCGCCCCCATGGAGAGGTGGGAACGCCCTCTCCCCCCCCCCAACCACCAGACACAGCTGGAGGACTTGTGTCTCGTTCTGTCTTTGACTGGGCTCTTCCCCAGGGTCTGAAGAGGGATTTCGTTGTTCTCCCTGATCCCAGCCTTTCTTTGCCTCCCTGCCCCCCGACCCTCCCTTCTCTCCCAGAGCCAAGCTTCGGACGTGGTGATTGTCTCCTCTAAGTACAAACAGCGCTACGAATGTCGCCTGCCAGCTGGAGCTATTCACTTCCAGCGTGAAAGGGAGGAGGAAGCACCGGCTTACCAGGGGCCTGGGATCCCTGAGTTGCTGAGTCCAATGAGAGATGCTCCCTGCCTGCTGAAGGTGAAAGGGACTGGGATGGATGGATTGAGAGCCTGGGAACCATTGAGTGAACCTGAGTGCGGTTGAATGAGGTGGAATCTAGGGGAGACCTGTAGGAGTTAAGAAGGCTTGAGCCCTGCGCAGTGGCTCACCCCTGTAATCCCAGTGCTTTGGGAGGCTGAGACGAGAGGATTGCCTGAGCCCAGGGGTTCGACACCAGCCTGGACAACTTGGCGAGACCTCGTCTCTACAGTAAATCAACAAACTAGCCGGGCTTGGTGGCGAGCTCCTGTAGTTCCAGCTACTTGGAAGGCTGAGGTGGAAGGATGACCTGAGCCCACCAGGTCAAGGCTGTGAACTGTGGTGGCCATGAGCACTGCACTCCAGCCTGGGCAACTCAGGCTCTGCCTCAGAAAAAAAAAAAGAAGAAGAAGAAGAAGAAAGGCCAGTGAAGGAGGAGACAGATTATATGGACAGGAGAGAAGTAAAGAATCCCACAACGGCTGATGATAACTTTGCTGAATGCAGGGGAAGGTTAGGCAAGAAGATCTCAGAAAAGGGTTAAAGCAAGACTGCAGTGCCTAAAGAGGGTTAGTGTGGGGTAGGAGGGGTACTCCTTAAAGAAGCCGACCTGGTAAAGTCACCCCTGGCCCCATCACTCTCTGTCCAACAGTATCGTATTTTACTTTTATCATAGTACTTTTCATGATATGAAGTCACCTTATTGACTGAATTCATTTGTTTATTTTTGGTCTGAATCCCAGCACTAGAATGTAAGCTCCATGAGGTCAGAGAATGTTACCTTGTCCACAGTTGTATTCCCAGTGACCAGAACAGTGCAAAAAATGTTGTAGAGATTCAATTAATTTTTGATTTTGGAGTCTTTTATATTTCCCTGATATGACTGCTTCAAGGATACCATGATTTCTTATCTTTATGGAGGACAAAGAAGGATTTTTAAAAATCTTTAAAAAGGGAGGAATGGAAAGACCACAGGTAGAAAACAGACTTTAGAGGTGTCTCTCTGGGTCACAGAAGGAAAACAGCTCTCCTTCCTCACTGAGAGTCTGCAGAATTGAGTGTGGGAGTAGAGGGAGATGAGAGGTTGTGTGTCTTGGAGCCAGGAGACTCTGGTTCCAAGAAGAAACATCTGCACTCCACCCCTCTGATTGTTCACTTTTTCATTGTCAGACCAAGGACTGGTGGACATATGAATTCTGCTATGGACGCCACATCCAGCAGTACCACATGGAAGGTGACTTGCTCCTACGTGTTCCCTAAGCCCTCAGCATCGTATCATGGAGGGTGACTTGCCTCCCCAGTTCCCTCCTAGTCCTCTTAAAAGAGAGTAACGGTGCTTCACGGTGGCTTCTCTTGCAGATTCAGAGGTCAAAGGTGAAGTCCTCTATCTCGGCTACTACCAATCGGCCTTCGACTGGGATGATGAAACAGCCAAGGTGGCAGGAGTGTGGGATTGGGAGAGAAAGGGGTCCTGGCTACAGACTGAGATCTCTGACAAGGGGATGGGGAGGTCAGAATTAGCCAATAGGTTTCTTGGGGCTTGGCAGCCATTAGGACAAAGCCCCTGGGGCTCAGGCTGTACTTTTGTCCCTGTGGGGGTGCAGTGTCATTATTCCTCCTCACACTCTTGCTCATGCTCCCTCCCTCCCACCTTGTGTCTTCTCTAGGCCTCTAAGCAGCATCGTCTGAAGCGCTACCACAGCCAGACTTACGGCAATGGGTCCAAGTGCGACCTCAATGGGAGGCCCCGGGAGGCCGAGGTTCGGGTAAGTCTTGAGGGAGAGAAGTTGACACTGCCTCGGTGACAATTCCGATTCTCAGGGAAGCAGACAGGGTTGCCTCTTACAGTCAAGAGGATCTCTCCCAGACCCTAAACCCAAAGTTTTTTTTTTTCTTTATTTTTAGGGGAAGGGAAGGAAGAAGGGTTCTGCTTTAGATAGATGGGCAAGGAAGGACTCCAAGAGGAGTTAAGGATTGAGCTGAGACCTGAAGGATGGGAAGGAGCTGTCCCAGAAAGGCATTCTAGGCAGTAGGTTCTGCAGAGACAAAGGCTGGGAAATGCAGCAGGAAGGACACCACTGTGGCCAGAGCACAATGGGGAAGGAAAGGGATATAGGAGTTGAGCAGAAACTAGTCACATAGGACCTAGTGGGCCTTGCAAAGGAGTTTCATTGCATTCCAAGTGCAAATAGAAGCCATTGGAAGGTTTTAAATGGTGGATGACATGATCTGAATTATGCTTTAAAAGGTCACTCTGACTGCTCAAGGAGAATGAGTTGAAGAGAAGCAAGAGCAAACCCAAAGTTTAAAACATATTTCCAGCTGCCAGCTGGACATCATTGCTTGGATACTCAGAGGCATGTCAAGTCAGCATTTCTAGATCTTTCCCTCCATACCACCAACCACATATAATTCCCCCCCCCACATTTCTCCTTTCCATCACCTAAACTGTAAACCTGAATGCCATCCTTGACTCTTCCTTCCCCCTCCCCTTGTCCCTCCTTTCTTCCTTTATCAACTCTTCAGTGATGTCTTGCTGTGTGCGTATGCATAAAGGTATCAGCCTTAGATCTGGGGATCCAGTAGTGAGCAAATGTGTAGGCCCTGCCCTTATAGAATGCCCAAAGGAGAAGACAGACATCAATAAAAGAATCACAGAAGTGAAGTAAAATGAAGGAAAGGAATCTAGTTCTCTCAGAGTAAAGAACAAAGCCCATTCTTTCTACTTCTAGGTAGTTCTCAAAACTCTCCTCTGCTTTCCTGTGGTTGGTACTTCCATTCCTCACCCACGTCACCACCAATACCCTTTGGACAAGTGTTCTTCATCTAGTGGTCCTTAACTGAGTTGAGGCAGGCAGGCAGATGTATAGTGGAAAAAGCTCCTTGGGTGATTCTAATGTATTCACAACTACAATACACACGCCTGTAGAGAACCACATGCTACCTACCAGAATTATCTCTTCATAATACAGACTTTCACCTACAGCCATGTGAGTAAGTGTTGAACACCCAGATCTGTGGGGGGTGGGCCTAGGGAGAAGCCCTGATTTGTAATGTTTGCCAGTATCTATGGCATAAACACTCCCACCATGCCCAAATCAAGTTATTCGTATGTTATCAGCCATCTTGCACCATTCCCCGAAATTGACCCATGGCGCCTACACACCTGCAAGCGTGTATCACTTCTCTGCCCAGTCCTGGAAAATCTTCAATGATTCTGCTTTGCGCAAAGCATAAGATCCAGATATTTCGGCACAGACCAGGGTGGTAGCAGTGGACGTGATGGGAAACCATTGGATTCTGGATATGTTCTGAAGGTAGAGCAGTAAGAATTGTTGATTGACTGGATATGGGATAGAATTAAGGATTACCTCAAGATTTCTAACTTGAACAACTGGTATGATAGAATTGTCATGGGCTGGAGCACGAAGGAGCAGGTTTGGGGGGAAGAAGTGAGGTTGGTTTTGGATATTTGAAGGTCGAGATGTCTATTAGACATCCTAGTGGTGATTTCCGGTTGGCAGTTGGCTCTGTGATTCTGGAGTTCAGGGCCAAGGTCTGGAATGGAGATATAAATACTCATTGTATTTCTGCCACACTGGCCTTCTTTCTGTCCTTTGAACCAGCAGGTCTCATTGTTTGCTCTGCAGTCTTTGCACAGATCTTTGAACAGTTGGCACTGTTCCCTCATTCAGGTTACATTCAGATGACAACTCCATTGGGAACATGGACAAATAGACACAGATACACAGACACCCTGCTGCCCCCTTGTCCTGGTAAACTTCTACAGTGTTCTGTACCCTTCAAAACTTGTATCATTACCTGAAATGATTTTATTTGTTTGAGTTTAATATCTGTCTTTGTCTGCCCCCACTAAAATAAGCTCCAGGAAGTCATAGATAATGTCTGTCTTGTTTTCTGCTGTATCCTCAGCACCTGGAACAGTGCCTGGCCCCAAGTAGATGCCCAGCCATTATTCACTGAATGAATGGAATGAACGATAAGCCAGTTCAGATGTCATCTTTCTTGACTAACCCAGGAAGTTAGTTAGTTGTGCTCTTCAGCACTTCATATACATACATTCACATCCATGTATACCTACAGGCATCTGCACATGTGTATAATCTGTGTAGCACTTCATCGTATTCTAGTCATTTCTTTGGGCATTTGCACCTTCAGTAGGCCAAGAAGTGAGGGCGAAGGCAGTGTGTCTTGCTCATATCTGTTGAACATATGCCCTGTGCCAAGCACTGTAATAGCAACTGGGGATCAAGTGGTGATGGAGTGACCTAGTCCTGCTCCCAGGAGACATGTTAAAGGAACAGCCACAAACTGGATAAATACTGCAACAAGCGAAGTTCAGACCTTAGGGGAATACCCCATAAAGGAATGAACCAAGTCTAGGGTAAAGGGGGGCCTCTTGGGAGAATGACCTTTGAACTGACCGTGGAGGATAAGAAGTTAGACCAGCAACTACAGAGGATGGGGGAGGAGACAAGAAGGGCATTCCAGATGGACGGTACAAAAACCCTGGAGGCAAGGGGCAGTGGCCTATTCCAGAAATCACCAGGTTCACAGGGACTGGGGAGATGACTGGGAAAGACAGTGTGGGAGATAAGGCTAGGTCATTTTTGGGGACCAGGTCACAGGTCACAAAGAACTCTGTGGCTGTTTGTTGGGTTTGGACAATCCAAGGGACAATGGGGTATCAATGAGGTATTTTAAGCAGAATATGATGGTGGAAATTTTGGATTTGAAGGCTCACTCTGACTGGAGTATAGCAGTGATTGAGAGCTGAGTTCTGCTGTTGCAGTAACCCAGGTGAGATATGAAGGTGGCCCGGGGTTGAGGAAATGTGACTACATGGAAAGAGATTTGGGAGTCAAATCCATGAGAGAAAAGGCATCAAGACTGATTCCCAGGTTTTCTGGCTTGCGCCACTGGATGGGTGGGATTTGTGTTGCTGAGAGGGGTACAGTGGGAAGAGGAGGGGGTGTGCTGAGGAAAAGCGGAGAGCTTGGTTTTGAGTATGATGATTTTAGTGACTGCTGGGCATTCATGTAGAGATTTCCAAGGAGGCTGTGGGTCTGTGGGTCTGAAGTTCAACAGAGAAATCCGAATTGAACCCAGAGGCCCGGGAGTCATCATCATATCAGTTTTCACTGAAGCCATGGTATGGGTGAAATTTAAAGATACAGCATGTGATGACAAGAGTGGGACAGTTTGAGGAAGCCATCATTGAGTGCATGGGCAGAAAGGGGCCAGAGAGGAGACTGTGGTGACATGGGACCAAGGAAGGACATATCTCAAAGAGAAACTGGTCTGTGGTGTTGGCTGTACCCGAATCTTCAAAGAAGAGAATTAAAAACTGCTTATAGACTGGGCGTGATGGCTCAAGCCTGTACTTCCAGTAATTTGGGAGGCCGAGGCGAGAGGATTGCCTGAGCCCAGGAGTTTGAGACCAGCCTGGGAAACTTGGTGAGACCTTTTCTCTACAATAAATCAAAATATTAGCTGGGTGCGGTGGTGCATGCCCATGGTTCCAGCTACTTGGAAGGCTGAGGCAGAAGGATTGCCCGAGTCCAGCAGGTCGAGGTCAAAGCTGTGGTGGCCATGAGTGTGCCACTGCACTCTGGACTCCAGCCTGGGCAGTAGAGTGAGACTCCCACTCAAAAAAAAAAAAAAATACAAAACTGCTTATGGGTAATCATAGGGATGATTAGTTTAATGAAAGCAAAGTATGCATGTGGAAATTTAGGCAGTAGGGAAGAGATCCAGATGGAAACTCTTAAGTGTTCTACTCCCAGTTGCCCCTGATCAGTCCTTTGGTTGGCTTTGGTGACAGAGGTCACTGGTGATCTTTGCTAGAGCATTTCAGCAGAACGAGGAAGATGAAGTGTTGAGAAAAGCGGTGAAGACATAAAATCTTTGAAGCATCTCAATATGGAGGGGAGAAAGAAGGTGAGCACTAGCTCCAGGAGCTTCGGGGCTGGGGATAGGGGGTACTCTGTGGTGAGAGTGTGTTTTAAGGTGGAGCAGACCAGGACACATTGGAATTGTCTCCTTGAGATATGTCGTAGTAGAGAGGAGGAGAGGTCAAGGTACAAGAGAAAGAATGAGGAAAGAACATGGATGGTGCAGGATGCAGAACACAGGAGAGCAGCTCACCTCAGATGGAGAGAATTCCACAGTTGTAACCAGAATGAAAGGGTAGGGCATTCACTGCCAAGTCTGGAGGTCTTGATGGCAGCAAGTTGAGGGCATTCATCTGGTTGCTTCTCAGTCTTCGTTCTTGTGCCCTGATGGACCACCAGGTGACTGGGTAAACCCCTCAGTCCAGGGCGGGCATGGTGGGGTTTCATCTTCCCAGTGTCTCCTTACAAGCAACTTGCAAGGTGTTTGCTAAAAGTGCAGTCTCCATGGGGTTTGGGGACAACTGGTTAACTTTGTGAAATTAAATAAGTTTGAATCCCTATCTCAATTCATACATCAAGGAAGATCCTAGCACTATCAAAGTTTTTTTTTTTTAATTTATGACATGTTTCAAATATACAAAAAATAATTTCATAGAGATCCATAAAGCCATGGCTATGTCAAATGTCAGATGTTAATGTTTTGCCATAGTTGTTTCAGGTCTCAGGGGGTTTTTGTTTGTTTGTTTGTTTTTTTAAGGAATTTTAAAAAAGGAATAAAACACAGAAACAACCACAACCATCACTATGTTTGTTTTATACTTTTATCACTGACACATGTATCACAGATAATA